AACTCACTACATAGCCCAGGCTGGCCTCAAACTCATGGCGATCTTCCTGCCTCAGCCTCCTGAGTGCTGGGATTACAGGTGTGTGCCACCAGGCCTGGTCGGTTGCTAGAACATTCTGTCTCAGAACCTCACGGTGTATTAATGATTTTCCTTTTTGCCTCACACTTGCATGTGCGTGCGTGCGTGCATGCGGCGCTGGGAGCTGAGGCCTCCGGCACGCAGGATGTAACAGAGGCTGAGTCTCCTCCAGGCAGGGGAACAGTGACAGAGGGGGAAGTCCCGTGAGAAAGTGCAGCTCTGTGCAGCATTTGTTTTCTTTAGGGTGTGTGATTGATTGAGAGCTGGGAGGGATTTCCAGGACAGATTTATCTACCAGGGCCTGGGAACCCACGGGGAGGGCAGGAACACTTCTGGGGTGCTTGGGGGCCCAGACAAGGCGACACAAGCGAAACCACCACAGCCTGGGCCCCTTTCTGGATTTGGAGTTCATGCCAATGTAGCATGGGCTCTTGCTTTCTTCTGAGGATGGAGCTCAGGACCTTGCTCAGGACCTTGCTCAGGACCTTGCTCATGCCCCTCAAGTGCTCTGCTATTGATAATATCCCCAGATCTCTGTATCTTCAATTTTATTGGGAAAAAAAAAGCTGTCTCTGTGGCTCAAGCCTGTAATCCCAGCACTTGGGAGGCTGAGGCAAGAGAGTCACTGTGAGTCTGAGGACAGCCTCAAACTCAGTCTAGGGACTACATAGTGAGACCCTGTCTCAAGAAAACAAAAAAACAAAAAGAAAGAAAGTGAAGCAAGGGCCTTGTGGCAGCTCCCTGACTGCAGTGTTGTCAGGTGGTCACAGTCCACTCGCTGGCCCTATACTGCTCTGGGGCACAGGGACAAGAAGGGGTGTGTTAGGAAGGAGAATGACTGGTGATGGTGGGGAAAAGCTGGTGGAGGCCAAATGCAAAACAAGTTAGGGGCCCACAGAACCAGGGCCATCCTGGGAACATCACAGGGAGGCCACTGGATTCTGCACTGGGGACACCCAGTTACCCAAGGGAGCTACAGCCCTGGGGAGGAGGGAAAGGGCCAGCAATCCAGGCTCACTGCCATTTTTTTTTTTTTTAGTGTTTTTGAGACAAGGTCTTGCTATATGGTCCAGGCTGGCCTTGAACTCCCTATGTAGTCCAGGCTGGTCTAGAACTCCTGGAGATCCTCTTGCCTCAAACTCCAGAGTACAGGCGTGACAGCATGGCCTGAGCCAGGATCTCCTGAAGGAAGAACCACCTGAGGCCATGGTCTGTGTGTGTGTTTGAGGGTGAGGGTCAGCGACCAGATCAAAAATAGAGAGGTCAGCCATGCGTGGTTGGTGGCACACACCATGGTCCCAGCACTTGGGAGGCTGAGGCAGGAGTCTAGCCTGAACTACAGAGTGAGACCCTGTCTCAAAAGACAACAACAAAAAAATAGAGAGGTCAAGCAGGGAGGGTGTGGTAAACACATCTATAATCCCAGTACTCCAGAGGCTGAGGCAGGAAGATGTCAAGTTAGAGCCCAGCCTGGGCAATTTAGCTACTCAGCAACACTCTGTCTCAAAATAATAAGTAAAAAAGGGTTGGGGTTGTAGCTCAGTGCAAAGGCCTTAAGTTCAATCCCCAGTACTGCAGAAATAATGCTAATAAATAAGTAAAGTAAAGATAGGGAAGCCACCTGTGGCCTCTATAGCCCACTTGTCCCTGTGAGGCAGTAAGGACCCCTGCTGGTGTCACCTGAGAGGCCCTGTGGCCTAATGGCACAAATACACATATTCTAGAGCCCCTCCACCCGTTCCTGACCCTTCACCCCTTGTCCTGTCCCTCAGGCCCCTCTTCTTTGGCACCTTTTATAGCACAGACTGGCCTTTAACTCCTGTTGATCCTCCTGCCTCAGTCTTAACCTTCTGAGTGCTGGGATTACGGCTGTGTACCACCACACCTATATCTTATTTATTCATTCATTTATTTATTTTTGCTTGGTTTCGTTGTTTGGCTTTTTGAGACAGGGTCTTGCTATATAGCTCAGGCTGGCCTTGAACTCACAGCCATCCTCAGTACTGGGATGACAGGCATGTGCCAGCACACCTGGCTTTGATTCCCTTTGGACTCTGGAATCTTCTAGGGACCCTCCTGTGACTTTCTTCTCATCACAACCCAAACCCCCAAGTTTTCCATCCCTTTAACAAGTTGTTTGCTGGCCTGAGTTGTTTGCAGCTAGGTCGTATGCTGTGGGCCGAAGACAAACGTGACAAAGATTGAGACCCTCCCCTCCCTGACCTAGGGCCCCCCACAAGGCGCAGGGACTTAGGTCCTAAACATAGACATTTTCTATATGAGATCAGGACTACGGAAAGAAAGCTTTAGTTTTAACCTACAGCCAAAGTCTTGAGTTACAACCCAAATGCTGGCCTCTTGTGCTTCCAGATGGTCTCAGATACATATTTAACCCTTAAAGAATTCTGGAAGGAACATTTCAACATCTTTCCCTGTGTGGAGTTAACTGAGAAATCCTGGGCAGTGTCTCTCTAAGGACTCTGAGATCTGCCTGGACACGGGAGAGAGTCTCTGAAGGCTGGGTAGAGGAGCCTGAGGCTTTTAGACCAATGTGAGTTACAATCAGCCCTTGTGAAAGAATGGAGTTTGCAAGTCAAGGGTCTACTGTAATTAGGGGTGAGTGACGTTGTGAGGCTTGGGCCCCAGATTATTGTCCTTAGGAAAACAGGGAGACGGTGAGAGATGGTGGGACACGCCTGTGATTCTCAGCATTCTAGGAGGCTGAGGCAGGAGAATTGCAAATTCAAGGCCACCCTGGGCAATGTAGCAACTTAAAAAGATCTGTTATGAAACAGGGCACAATGGCGTAGCCCTGTAATGCTAGTACTCGGGAGGCTGAGACAGTAGGATTGCCGGGAGTTTGAGGGCAACATAGTGAGTACAAAGCCAACCTGAACTACATAGCGAGACCCTGTCTCAAACAAAATAAAACAAAACCACCACCAACAACAATAACAAAAAGAAATAAAAACAAAAAAATGAAAAAACAATTTGGACTAAAAGAAAAACCAAAACAGTGCTGGGGATGTAGCTCAGTCCAAAAGCCCTGGGTTCAAACTTCAATTCTCTGAAATTCATTAGCAAATATATATATATATATATAAATAAGAGCCAGGGGTTTAGCGCAGTGGGACCATGCCTGCCTTGCAAGCACAAGGTCCTGAGTTCAATACCTGATGCAAAAAATTAAAAAAATAAATAAATAAATAAAATGATGTCCTGGCTAGGAGTGTGTTTAGTGAAAAAAACACTTGCCTAGCATGTCCAAGGCAGGCGGATCTCAAATTAGAGTTCAGCAGGGGCGACAGCAAATTAGCAAGACTTTCTCAAAACAAAAATTTTGAAAAGCGCTGGGATGTAACTCAGTGGGAAAGCCCTCAGTGGGAAATTCCCACTACCACACACACGTACACACAGAGAAAAAGAAAAAGGAAATTGCTGCTTCAGCCACCCTGCCTATGGTATTTATGACTGCCCCTCACCCCCGTGCTAGTATAGTGGGATTGGGGTAGGGAAAAACAAAAGTGAAAAGAGAGAAGCTGCCCAGGGCTCTGGAGGTGGAATTTTGGGAGCGCTCACCCTTTATTATTTATTTATTTATTTGTACCAGGAATCAAACTCTGGACCTTGGGCTTGCAAGGCAGGTGCGGTGCCACTGAGTTAAATCCCCGGCTCACCCTTTATTTTTTGGTACTGTGGCTTGAACCCAGGGCCTTCACACTGAACTATACCCCCAGCACTTTCTATTTTGAGACAGGGCCTCACTAAATTGCTAAATTGCCCAGGCTGGGCTTGAACTTGAAATCCTCTTGCCTCAGTCTCCCAGAGTGCTGGGATGACAGGTGTGCGCCACTGTGCCCAGTTTGGAGGTGACATTTGAATAAAGACCTGAAGGTTGGAAGGAAGAAGTGGCAGCACGGTCTCAGCTGAGTAAACAGCAAGTGCGAGGCCCAGAGGTGCCAGTACTGTCCACTAGAGGCCACCCTCTCCAGGTCACCTCATTGTCATTATATAGCTTTCACTGAGCCCTGTCTCTCAACTGCCACACTACACACTTTCCTGGAGTGAATCTGGCTCATCCTCCAAAAGTTTTACGAGGTAGATGCATTAATTTTTTTTTACAGCTTTTCTGAGCTATAAACCACATACTTTTTTTTTTTTTTGATACCGGGAATTGAACTCGGGACTTTGTGCTTGCAAGGCAGGTGCCAGAACCACTGAGCTAAATCCTTTGTACCCACATAACTTTATTTTTCTTTGCGCGTGTGTGGTTTCCTGTTCTTAATTTACTTTTATGGTTTTCATATTTTAAAAAGATTTCTTCAAAAAGAAAAAAAGTGTGTTTTGAGACAGGTGTCACTATGGAGCCCAGGCTGGCCTTGAACTCGCTGGGATCCTCCTGCCTCAGCTTCCCGAGTTCTGGGATGACAGGAATGCACCACCACATCAGGCTTTTAAAAAAAATATTATTGAAGCTTATATAAAGATGCATTCCTGTTGTTGAGGGTATTCGAGCCCACTTTGCTCAGGAAGAAACTGAGGCACAGAGTGACCCAGCTTGCAGGGGGTGTGGGACAAAGAGCAAGAATCACACCTAGATTTGGCCCCCGACTGAGGTCTGTTCTGGGTAGCCCGCCTAGGGTTGCCACCAGTCTCTAGATTCGTCCCTGTTGCTGCTCCTAGTTAAACCTTGTTTTGCATGTGAGGAAACTAAGGCCCGAGAGGTGTGGCTTGCCCAGGGGTAGCACCTACCACAGGCTGCGGCGGGACTGGTGTACGGCCCGCGCGGGGGCGCTCCCGGGCAGTGAGCGCGCAGGTGCGCGTTTCTCAGGGACCTCGGAGGGGGCTGTCCTGGGGGCGTGGTTGTAGGCGTGACAGGGGCGTGGCTACAGACTGGGGGCCGCCGATAAGGGCCTGCAGGGGTTCGCGTGCACCTGCGCGGTGCGATAAGGCGGGCGTGGGGGCGTGGAACGCGTCGCAGAGGCGCTGGGTCTGGTGGTTCCGGGATTGGGGTCCCCGGAGCGGGCAGATTACCTCGCCAGGGGCTGGGCCGGGGCGGGGCGTCAGTCCAGGTCCTGCCCGCCCTCATCCGGGGGCCTGGTCCACTAAAATGGCCGTGGCCGGAGTGGCGGCTCCCCACAGGACTGCGCCCGGCAGTCGCCTGGAGGGGGCCGCGTAGCCCCCCTTGCGGGCTGCGTCCTGGCTGGGCCGCCCTGGGGTGCTGGCCGCACCCCGCCCGGACCCCGCGTCCCCGCGTCCATGCACTCCGTGTCGCCCGCAGCCTCGCAGTACGGGAGCGGGAGCCCGGAGCACGCGCGCCGGTCAGAGGCCCGGAGGCCGCGGGGACCCCGGGGCCCGGACCCCCAAAGCCTGGGGACCCCCGGAGGCAGCGGCCCCGCGTTCGGCCCGCCCGGCGCTGCCCACGTGGAGCCGGACGAGGTGGACAAGTTCAAGGCCCGGTTCCTGACCGCCTGGAACAACGTCAAGTACGGTGAGGAGGGGGCAAGGTTAAGGTTGGGTTGAGGGTGTGCGGGACAACCAAGCCCGGTGCCCACGATGATTCCCTCTCCCGCCCCGCCGTGTTCCTGTCCCGTGAGTCACCCGTGGGTCCCCGCCCTGCCCCGCCCTGCCCCGCCCGGGGGTGGACCTGGGGAGGATTAACCGGGAAGGTTTGCAATCCTCGCTCATTCCCCGTTTGACCTTGGGGCAAACTTCATGGTTCTCTGGTCCTCCACTTCCCTGCTCCTCAAAATGGGAGCCATAACCAGAAGTGCTTAGGGCTGAAGATTTAGCTCAGTGGTTTCGTCGCCTGCCTCGCAAGCACAAGGTCCCTAGTTCGATCCCCGGTACCAAAAAAGCCCCCAAACAGAAGTGCTTAATTTGGCGTCTCAGCACTCAGAGGCTGAGGCAGGAAGATCGCTGCAAGTTCCAGGCCAGCCTGAGCTCTATTGTGAGTTCTAGACTACATAGCTCGCCTTGAACTATTAAAAACAACAACAAAAACACCAAGGCATGGTGGTTTACACCTGTAATCCCAGCATTGTGGAGGCTGATGCAGGAAGATTGCCATGAGTTTCGAGGCCAACTTGAACTACTAGAGAGACCTTGACTCTAAAAAATAAAGTAAAAATAATCAGTTTCCTTCATTTCTGCCGAGTTGATGGTGGACACCCAGGCAGCCCTTACAAGGGCCCCATGTTCCTCTCAGGGGTCTGAGTGAGAGCTGGGATTGGGGGAGATGGGACCATGGGGGACCCTTGCTAGAGCAGGGGTCCATCTTTCTGCCCGCTGCCCCATGTCTCCGCAGGGTGGATGGTTAAAAGCCGGACCAGCTTTAGCAAGATCTCCAGCATCTACCTCTGTGGCCGCCGCTACCGCTTTGAGGGTGAAGGTGAGTTGCTGGGCCCAAGGATGGAGGAGGCCTCCCCAGGTGTCCCTGGTGGCTGCTGACAGCCCAACTCTCCTAGGTGACATCCAACGTTTCCAGCGGGACTTTGTGTCTCGCCTGTGGCTGACCTACCGCCGTGACTTCCCACCCCTGGCTGGGGGTTCCCTGACCTCAGACTGTGGCTGGGGATGCATGCTGCGCAGTGGTCAGATGATGCTGGCTCAGGGATTGCTGCTGCATTTCCTGCCCCGAGGTGAGTCCTGCAGGGGGACAGGATGTGCCAGAACAGTGCCATGGGTTAGAATTGTTTGCAAACTGAGTTAAAAGGCATTTTTTTTTGAAACACGGTCTCACTGTATGCCCCAGGCTGGCCTTGAACTCATGGGGGATCCTGCTTCACCCTCTGGAGTGCTGGGATTACAGGCATGTGCCACCACGCCCAGCTAAAAGCCACTTTAAAATTATGTGTTAAGCCAGGTACGGTATGGTGGTGCAAGCCTGTAATCCCAACACATAGGAGGCTGAGGCAGGAAGATCACCTCAGTTCAGAGGCCAGCCTAGACTACATAGTGAGATCCTGTCTCCAAAAAAAAAACTCCCAAGGGCCGAGGATTTAGCTCAGTGCCTCGCAAGCACAAGGTCCCCAGTTTGATCCCTGGTACCAAAAAATAAAATAAAATAAAAATTAAAAACTCCCCCAAAAGTAAGTACCAAAAAAAAAGTAAATAAATAAATTCATTAATAAAATTATATGTTAAGGCACTTTGGGGGCAGTAAGTTTTCTAACAGTTTCAGAGCAGATGTGCTGGCAGTTGCCTGTGATTGCAGCTACTCAGGAGGCTGAGGCAGGAGGATCACAAGTTCAAGGCCAGCCTGAGCTACATAGTGAGATCCTGTCTCTAAATCATTAAGTTTGTTTGTTTATTTATTTATTTGTTTTGTTTTGTTTTGTTTTTAAAAAATGAGATTCGGAGCTGGGGATTTAGCTCAGTGGTTCCAGCGCCTGCCTCACAACCACAAGGTCCTGAGTTTGATCCCTGGTACCAAAAAAAAAATGGGATGAGGCTATCTCAATGGTATAGTATTTGGCTAAAATGGACCAGGTCTTTGGTTTTATCCCTGGCACCAAAAAATTTTTTTTTGGTACTCGGGATCAAGCTCGGGTCCTTGCGCTTGCACAGCAGGCGGCGAAACCACTGAGCTAAATCCCCATCCCTAAAAATATTTTTTTAAATATAAAAGTTTCAGGCATGTGAAAATTGTAGTTAAATTTGGGCATCTCAGGAGAGTTAGTTAGCATTGTGGTACAATATGGGTAGATGGGGCCAGGCATGGTGGTGTACACCCATGACCCCAGTCCTTGGGAGGCTGAGGCAGGAGGATCACTGTGAACTTGAAACCAAACGGTCACATAGTGAGACCCCGTCTCAAAAACCAAAATAAAAACCAAAAGCCTGAATGGGAGCTAACCCCCCCTCCCCATACACACATTAGCAATGACCACACTCTTCACCCCCCCAGACTGGATGTGGATCGAGGGTCCAGGCCTGGCCCACCCTGAGCTACCTGGCTCGGCCTCCTCTAGCCAGGGCCGAGGCCCTGCCCGATGGATGCCCCCGAGCTGCCCCTGGGGTGCCCTTGAGCGGGAACAGGAGCTGCGGCACCGGCAGATCGTGTCTTGGTTCGCTGACCACCCCCGAGCACCCCTGGGCCTCCACCGGCTGGTGGAACTGGGGCAGAGCTCGGGCAAGAAGGCGGGTGACTGGTACGGTCCATCGCTGGTGGCGCACATCCTCAGGTGAGATCAGCTGTGGGGCACACGGGAGCCCCTGGGTGCCCCTGGGAGCTCAGCCTGGCCCTTTGTCCCCAGGAAGGCTGTGGAGAGCAGCTCGGAGCTCACCCACCTGGCTGTGTATGTTTCTCAGGACTGCACAGGTATGTGCTAGGCAGGGCTATTGGCTCCACTGCCCCTGAGGACCCGCCTCCTCGGGGTTGGAAAACGGGCACTTGGGAAGCTTCTTAGGCTGGAGTCCTGGGAAGTGAATTGTCCCCGCCTCTCTGCCTGTCCCCAGGGGAAACCAGTGGCCTTCTCCCCGTTGCTCTTGATCTACAAACTAACTGTCACCACCCTGTCCCCACAGTGTACAAGGCAGATGTGGCCCATCTGGTGGCCAGCCCAGACCCCGCTGCTGAGTGGAAGTCTGTGGTTATTCTGGTGCCTGTGCGCCTGGGCGGCGAGACCCTGAACCCTGTGTATGTGCCTGGCGTGAAGGTAGGCGTGCAGGAAGCGGGCACCTCTGCCTGGGAGACTCCGGGAGTTTTCAGCTTGGGTTAGGGTCATAGCTTTTGTCTCACTTCATCCTTTTGACATTATGATTATTCTACTTTTTGTGGGTTTTTTTGGTACCGGGGATCAAACTCAGGACCTTGTACTTGCGAGGCAGGCGCAGTGCCAATGAGCTAAATCCCCAGCCCTATTGTAGTTTTTCTAGCACTGAGGATAGAATGAGCTACTTCCCCGGCCCTTTTTTAATCTTTATTTGGAGCTGGGACTCTTGATCTTCCTGGCTCCCCTCCCAGAGTGCTGGGATCACAGGTGTGCGCCACCATGCCCAGTTCAGGCAGAAATTCTGTGTCTCTCGAAGTGGATGTTCTAGTCAGGGAAATGATCGATAATCAAACTGACACTAGAGGTTGGGGAGGGAGCTATTGGTACCCTAACGTGCTCAGCATATCCTGAGTTCAATTCCCAGCACCAGTGTTTTTTTAAAAATGTAAAAATTGACCGGGGATTTAGCTCAGTGGTTCTGCTGCCTGCCTTGCAAGCAGAAGGATCTGAGTTCAATCCCCGGTACCAAAAAAAAAAAAAAATTTAAAAATTGGCACCTGTGCAATCCCAGCACTTGGGAGGCTGAAGCAGAAGATTTTGAGTTTGAGGCCAGCCTGGGTTACACAGCGTTTTCTGAGCCCTGTCTCAGAAAATCACAGACACGAATTAGCATTAGAACCCACTCTCCAAAGGGCAGGAACCCACCCCAGCAGGGACCCAGGAAAGCCCCGCTGGGGCAGGAGCAGAAGTGGTCCAGGTGGAAGGAGACTGAGGGCCAGAGGCTGGGAAACCCCTGCTGGGTTTGCACTCCCGATGAAGCCAGTCGGCCAGGCCTCCAAATGCTGAAGGTTTCCCTCACTTCCTTGACCTTGTCGCCCCCTATAGGTCCTTGCTCCATCCGTCCTCACCCTGCTCCTACCTCTGGAGTCCCCCCCTTTCAGAGCCTCCTGCCTTGGGCCTTTGCACTCTTTCCCCAGAGATGCACTTGGCCCCCACATTCCCCATGCAGTCCCTGCTGAAACACCTGTGACCTCTCACTGAGGCCTTTCAGGACTTCTGTTGCAAATTGCAAAATGCAGGGCTGTGGTGTAGCTCAGTGGTATGTGCAAAGCTCTGGGTTCCATCCCCACCACCACAGTAAAGTAAAATTAAATAAAATCTGAACCGGCATGGAGGCCCATGATTGTAATCCCAGTACTGGAGAAGGTGGGGGAGGAGGATCACTAAGAGTTCAAGGCTCTCCTGATCTGCATAGCTAGACTGTCTCCAAAAAAAAAAAATGTTTGTTGAGTGACTGTTTGATACCACCTGCCTCAGTTTCTACTCTCTCCTCCCTGCAGGAGCTCCTGAGGTCTGAACTGTGCCTGGGCATCATGGGGGGCAAACCGAGGCACTCACTCTACTTCATTGGCTACCAGGGTAGGCCCTGCCCCACTGTGCTGCCTCCCCACTCTCTCTGTCCCTACTTCCGCTCATGGCTGCCCCCCTGTAGATGACTTCCTGCTCTACCTGGACCCGCACTACTGCCAGCCCACTGTAGATGTCAGCCAGGCTGACTTCTCCCTGGAGGTATGGTGACATTCCCAGGGTGGGGCGGGGGGGCACAGGGGAGAGAGTCAGCAGCCCCTGCAGCTCCCTTCTCTGTTGGGCCCAGTCTTTCCACTGCACCTCACCCCGCAAGATGGCCTTCGCCAAGATGGACCCAAGCTGCACTGTGGGGTTCTATGCAGGAAACAGGAAGGAGTTGGAGACACTCTGCTCTGAGCTGACCAGGGTGAGCAAGAGGAATGGTGGGAGGCAGGGCCCACAGTCCAGTGTGCCTGCGGTGGTCTGGAATTCGCTAAGGATCTACATGGGGGCCAGAGGTACAGCTCACTGGTAGAGTCCCTGCTTAGCATGTGCAAGGCTCTAGGTTTAGTCCCCAGCACCAAAAAGTAAGTGTGAGAATGTCTTACTTCTAGCAGTTCGGGCCTACAATCCAAGCACTGTCGGAGACTGAGGCAGGAGGGTCACAAGTTCAAGACCAGCCTGGGGAATTTGGTGACTTAGGGCTGGGGATGTAGCTCAATGTGAAGGCCCTGGGTTCAACGCCCCCAGTACCAAAAGCATTTCTATTTCTGAGAACCTGAAAGAATGCCAAGGGAAACAAACACTGGTCAAGGTCACCAATTGTCTCCACAAAGAAGGAAACCCCTATTTGGTAACTGATGAGCTAAACAGGATGTTACTGAAAAGTTTGGAGCACTGTTGCCCTGGGGACAGCTGTATGCAGAGGTTCACATGGCCCTGGCCTTCCCTATGCCCCTGTGGTGGTAGGAGAGTTGGCTACCAGCACCACCGGTCCCCTTCTCCCAGTTCACTGGTAAAGCAGCTACACATTAGAGGCAGCTACAGCAAAAATCTCAGGGATGTCACTGATTGGCTGGGTTGGGTCAGATGTTCACAGATGAGCCAATCACTGTGAGGGAAGGTACTGATTGGCTGGCCTGGCTCATCATAGAGTTGGATGCTGAGTTCTTTGAATGTTCTTGTGTCCAGCTGAGCTCTCTCCCTCTTACCACCAGATCCTCAGCTCCTCTTCAGCCACAGAGCGCTACCCCATGTTCACCCTGGTGGAGGGCCACGCTCAGGACCACAGCCTGGATGACCTGTGCTCCCAGCTCTCCCAGACCACAACGCTGCGGCTCCCTCGCACCGGGCGCCTCCTCAAGGCCAAACGGCCGAGCTCAGAGGACTTTGTGTTTTTATAATGGAGGGAATGGGGGAAAGATGTGAGACTATTTATTTTTTTATTTATGTCATCCTGGGGGAGGAGGGGGCCTAGAACTCAGGAGGTGACAGAGTTTCTCACCCTTACCCTCTCCACCACCCGAGACCAGTCTGTCAGACCGCAGGCAGGACTGGGGCTGCTTATCCAGGGGCCACCACCTGCCAGCTGCACCCTCCTGGGTCCTCTCACAGGGCAGGGGGCAGGGAGGACACCCGGGCACCCACTCAGGGCCTGACTCACGTACTGTAGTTTGCACTGGATTGGCCACGCCCTTCACTGTCCCCAAGTCCCGGTGCGGGGAGACTGGCTGCTGGGGGGTAATAAAGCTGTTGAACTTGACTGTAGCTGTGGCTAGGATTCCAGGGTGCCTCAAGGGGATGTCTGTCAAGCGGGCCTCAGAGCCAATGAAACACAGGTGCCAGGAGGACGGGACTGCTACCAGGAACCCAGGGACATGTGCGCCCACTGTCCTGTCCTCAGGGACGGCTCTTGGGTCCCGGCTGCTTCCTGCGCTGCCGGCCCAGCTGGCGAAAGTGGAGCCGCTTGGGGTTGAGGCCAAACGCCTGGAGTCTCTGGCGGCTGAACTCTCGGCCACCGAGTGTCACAGTGGGGCCCAGCAAATGTGCCTTCTTGCCCCTCCTCCGCTTCTGGGGGGCTGGTGTCTTGTGAGGTGACATAGGGGCCTCATCTTCCTGTGCCAGGGGGCTTTCGGGCTGGGACTGCTTCCCACGGCCTCCATCAGGCACCACCAGCTGCTCTTGTGGGCCAGCTGGGTGTCTCTGCAGTTCCCCGGTGTCTTCTGTGGCTGTCTCTGTCCTGGGGATGAAAAGTCAGGCCTCAGGCAGGCCACTCATGCCGAACACACGTCCCCACCTTCCAGATGAGGAAAGCATGGAGCAGCAGCAATGCAGGGGCCAGGGATTTACTCAGTGATTCCGAAGCCTGCCTCACAAGCACAAGGTGCTGAGTTCGATCCCAGGTACCAAAAAAAAAGCAGTGCAGAGCCTGACTGGATGCAGCCCAAGGCCTGAAGTCCAAGCCAAGTTTTTTCTTCGGACCCAAGGCTGAACTCTTGATTTTTTTTTTTAAATTTTTTGGTACCAGGAACCAAACTCAGGACCTTGTACTGGCCAGGCATGCGTGACGCCACTGAGCTACATCCTTGGCCCTGGTGCTGAGTTTGAACCCAGGGCTTTGCACATACTAAGCATGCACCCTACCAGTGAGCCCTACCATACCAAAATACCCTGTATTTTTCTTTATTTATTTAGGTTTTATTGAGACAAAGTCTTGCTATGTACTTCAGACTGGACTTGAACTCACTATGGAACCCAGGCTGGACTTGAACTCGTGATTTTCCTGCCTCAGCCTCCCTAGTACTGAGATCATAGGCATTGGCCAACACACCTAGCATTGTTTTTTTTTCTTTTTGTTTTTTGTGGGGTTTTTTGGTACTGGGGATTGAACTCAGAACCTTGCACTTTTGAGGCAGGCAGCAGAACCACTGAGCTAAATCCCCAGCCCACGCCTAGCATTCCTATATTTAAGCACTTACATGAATTAATTCAATCTATAATAACTTGAGATGTGAACCATAAAATTTCATACCTCCATTTTATAAATGAGATACAGGCCCAGAGAGGGTTAGTGACTTAGCTGTGGGTCACTCAGCTGAGGCCCAGCTAGGAATGGAACCCCAGTCTTGGAGAGGGAAGCCCCATTCCCAGGGGCTGATGGAGTGAGACTCAGGGGACCCACCCCACCCCGGCCAGCCGTACTTACTCCTCTGGGCAGAGCGACTTGAAGATCTGCCGCTTCTTCCGGGAGTTCTGGGCCTTCTGGCTGTATGACCGCTTGTCCTGCAGCTCCTCCTGCTCCGACCTGCAGGTGTGGGGACGCACCTGTCACCAGACGCTCTGCCCTCCACCTCCACTCGCTCCCTGGCACCTGACCCGCCCGTCACCTGTACATGCAGGTCTTCTTCAGGGAACACCATCGGTTCAGCTCCTTGTCATCAGCACCCAGGATCTGCAGAGAGGGAGGGGAGTCTTGAGGCCTGCATCCCCTTAAGGGTCAACAGAGCCATGCTAGGGCAGGGGATGTAGCTCAGTGGCAAAGTGTCTGCCTGGCAAGCACAAGGCCCCAAGTTCAATCCCCAGTACTGAAAAAAAACAAGAGCCATGCTAGCGCCACCCAGGGGCCACAGTGTTGGGAGAGATGATTTCTCCACAGGCCTGGAGTTTTTGGTGGAGGCATCAGAAGTGGAAGCAGGCTAGGGCAGTGACCTTAGTTCCCTAACAGGGCCAGGAAGCTGGCTGATCTGACACCAAGTCCAGCCCAAGGGCCCTTGGTCCTTACCTGCCGGCCAGCACTGTCCTCAGAGCCTCAGGACAGAGTAGAGATCTTATTTCTTTTTGTTTAGTTTTGTGGGTTTTGGAGGGTTTTTTGGTACCAGGGATTGAACTTGGGTCCTTGCATTTGTGAGGCAGGTGGTGGAACCACTGAACTAAATCCCTGGCCCTAGTTTTGTGTTTTTGACAGACTCTCAATATCTAGCCCAAGCTGACCTTAAACTCACAGTGATCCTCCTGCCTCAGCCTCTCGAGCGTTTGAATGACAGGTGTGTGCCACTACATCCAGCTCCCAGTAATTCTTAATGCCCACCCTCCTGCTGATAATAATAGAAATAGAAGTAATATTGAGCTGGAGATTTAGCTCAGTGGTTCCACTGCCTGCCTTGCAAGTGCAAGGACCCGAGTTCGATCCCTAGTACCAAAAAAGAAAAAAAAAGTAATATTTAGGGGGTGACTGGGGTTGTGTCTCAGTGGTAGCAGATGTGCAAAAACAAAACAAAAAAATACTTAAAAGTCAGTGTGGTGGTACACACCTGTAACCCCAGCACTCAGGAGGCTGGGGCAGGAAGATCCCTGTGAATTTGGGCCCGGCATGAGCTACATAGTAAGTTTAAGGCCTATCTGAAATACATAGTAAGAGCCTGTCTTTAAAAAAAAAAAAAAAAAAGTCAGGGATTTAGCTCTGTGGTTTTGCCACCTACTGCACAAGCGCAAGGACCAGAGTTCGATCCCGGGTACAAAAAAAAAAAAAAAATTCAAAATCCCAGCTACTTGGGAGGTGACATGGCAGGGTGGTATGTTCAAGGACACCCTGAGCCTGAGCAACTTAGGATAGTATCTCAAAAACAACAAAAAACCCAAAGTAATATTTATGGGTGCATGGAACCCAGGGCATTTACATGTGCAGCAAGCACTCTGCCACTGAGCTACACCTACTATTTTTTTGTTTATTTTGAGACTGGGTCTCATTATGTACCCCAAGCTGGCCTTGAGCTCACAATCCTCCTGCCTCAGCCTCCCCAGTGCTAGGATTACAGGTGTGTATTACTATCACTTGAGGCATCCCTGGGCTCGGTGCCAGAAGCTCTCTCCTGCATCCTGCCCACCTCCCATTGTTCCCAGCTCGCCTGGGGCCCAACCTCCTCGGTGCTGAGCCCGAAGTCACAGGGTACCACACTGCGGTACTTGAAGCGACAGGGCAGGTCATCGATGATGTCCTCATAGTCCAGCCGGTAGTACTCATCCAGGTACTCCTCAAAGGTCTTGTCCCCTGCACGGGAGGCAGTAAGGCTGCTGAGCACACCAGGCCCCATGTGGCCCCAGCACCCTCGGGCCTTGCGCCTCACCAGGGTCGAACACGGGCTTCTGCTGGCCCACGGCTGACGCAAAGAGCGACTTGCGCTTCTTCCTGCCGGTGGAGGGGGCCTCGAGCCACTTTTTCCGAGGCTGGCTGGGGTCATAGTCTGCATCCATCTGCGGGACACCATGTCAGGTCAGCCTGCAGGGGTGCACCCAGGGGGCCCTCTCCCCCCAGCCGAGGAACCTACATTGAAATTAGGGTCCTCACAGTGTGGCTCCTGCTGGTTCCATGCTCCGTCCTGCTCCGGCCCACCCCACGTGTCCCAGTTCCAGTCCTCTGGTTCCAGAGGGGACAGACAGGTGGGATCAGAGTGGGACCCAGGTGGCACCACCACCCCTAGCCTCATGTGCCATGAATGTCACCTTCAAGCCCGTCCTCCTCCTCAAACTGCGGCTTCTCCTCCTCCTCGGCACTGTAGAAGTCATGGCCTAGGCATTTCTGCAGGTGGGGCTGGGGTCAGAGATCAGCCCCCACACCTCCCTACCCTGGACAGTCTCACTCCTGAACCTTGCATAGCTCTATAGTACCCTCCCAGAATCTTGTACAGGTGAAGCAAGTGCTCTGCCACTAAACTGTGCCCTAGCACTAAAATGCACATTTTGGGGGGTTTTTTTGGTACCGGGGATTGAACTCAGAACCTTGTGCATATGAGGCAGGTGCAGTGCCACTGAGCTAAATCCCCAGCCCTCAAATGCATATTATGGATTATTTTGTTTTTTGAGACACAGTCTCCCTATGTAGTTTAGCCTGACCTCGAACTATGTAGCCCATGCTGGCCTCAAAATTGTGGCGATCCTCCTGCCTTAGCCTCCCGAGTGCTGGGATGACAGGTGTGTGGCACCATGCCCAGCATCAAATGCAGATTTCAAAACAATTTTCTTTTGGTTTTGTAAGACAGGGTCTCGCTATGTAACCCAGGCTGGACTCTAATTCACAGCAATTCTCCTGCTTCAGCCTCCCAAATGCTGAGATTATAAGCACGCACCACCACACCTGGCCTGGCTTGGTAATATTTCCCACTAGCAGGATGGAACCGTGCTGTAGGTGATGGAGCCCATACGCATGACCCTCTTGAGCACTTAGCAACTAAGCTTTCCTGTGACTTCCTCCCCAACTACCTTTAGGACAGCCCTTGGGGTAGCTGCTCCTATGAGCCCTACATTAGAGGCAGGGAAAGAGGCTCAGAGAGGTTGAGTCACTTTCCTCAGGCAACACAGTGAGAACGACCCAATTCCAGAGCACAGTTCCCAAGGACCTGGTGTCCTCCCAGGGTGCTGCACCTGCATCAGCTGCTCATGCTGGATGGGGTCAAAGTCACCCTCGAGGTCCTGCTCCTCCAGGCCCAGCGTCTCGTTGCCAGTGACTTGTCGCAGCTTTTCCAGCTTGGCCAGAATCTCCTTCCTCTTCAGGTTCTTTAACTGCTTCAGCTCCTCCTGCTTCCTGGCCTTCTCCTGCGGGCAGGGAGGGAGGCCCTGAGCCTTCCTGATGGGCTGGAGGACCCTCCCCAGCAGGGGCCCCAAAACTTACCCTCTTCTTCCGCTCCCTGGTCTCCTCCCTCTTCTCTTTCCTGCGCTCATCTCTGCGGCGCATGGAGGACGCAATGCTGCGTGGGTAGGTCTTGACCTGGGGGACCAAGGGAGGAACAGATGGGCCACCAAGATGATTCTGGGCTCTGCAGGCCTGGACCCTGGAAGGCTGGGTCCTCCTGCCCCTGAGGCCACACACCAAGGCTGCATCCGGCTCCTCGAAGCGGAAGTTGTACTTATGCTCGAAGTCCTCCTGCTTCTTCAGGAATAGCTCCCCCTCGTCAGAGGAGTCGTCCACGGCCACCTGGACTGGGGGACCAGGGACCCTGGGGAACAAGACGAGGGTGCTGGGGTGGAAATGTCAGGCTCTCTGTTCCTGAATACCTGGGCACCAGGTGTATGAATTTTTCTTTTTGGGGGCTAATACTGGGGATGGAACCCAGGGCCTTTGCAGTGAGCTACATCCTACCCCCACCCCTGAAACTTTGTGAGGCAGGATCTTGGATCTCACTATGTAGCCCAGGCTGACCTCAAAATCACTGCAGTCCTCCTGCCTCAGCCTCCTGAGTGCTAGGATGACAGGCGTGCACCATCATGCCAGGTTGCCAGTCCTAGCACCCTTTTTAAAAATTCTTTTTTTTTTTTTTTTTGGTACCAGGGATCAAATTCAGGTCCTTGCGCTTATGCAGTAGGTGGTGAAACCACTGAGCTAAATCCCCGGCCCAAATTTTTTTTATTTTTTATGTTTGAGACAGGATGTTACAAAGTTGCCCAAGTTGGGGTCACACTTGTGATCTGCCTTAGCTTCCCAGAGTACTAAGATTACAGGCATGTGGCACTGAGCCCAGGGTGAACTCATTTAATCCCCACGAGAAGCCTACAAGTGAGCTGTTGCTCACTTTATAGAGGGAAACTGAGGCACAGGGTTCTAGCCTGGGCCAATGACTGCAGCCAGTACCAATGAGCTCCAGAGCCCTCCCCAAGAAAAAAAAAAATCACACACAAGGTGCCCTGGGCTCCTGGCTGGCACTGTGGAAGGGGACATGAAGTGTGGCCACAGGGAGCAAAAATGCTCACCCTTCCTCCTCCTCTTCCTCTTCCTCCTCCTCATCGCCCTCCTCCTCACTGCCCTCCTCCTCGTAGCGCTTGTTGAGGATATAATCCCGCAGAAATTGCTCCCCTTCGTCCAGCTCCGGGTTGTCCCAATATTCCTTGAGATGCATCTAAGGAAGCGAGGGGATGACAGGACCCAGCTCATGGACAGAGGGACAGGGAAGGAGGGCAGGTGTGACCCCTAAACGGACTTGAGCTTCACAGCCAGCCAGCCCTGAACTCAAGATCCTCCTGCCTCAGCCTGCCAAGTGCTGGGATCACAGACATGCGCCACTGCACCTTGCTTCCTGTACCTTTGCCACGCTAGGGGTGAAGCCAGGGCTGCACATGCACAACACCTGAGCTGCACCCTGGGCCCTGTATTTGTCCTTTGCTTCCTTCCTAAGGGTCACTTTCTGGGAAAAGGTCAGACAGAGGGCCGGGGATTTAGCTCAGTAGTTTTGCCGCCTGCTGCGCAAGCGCAAGAACCCGAGTTTGATCCCCGGTACCAAAAAAAATAAAAAAGAAAGAAAAGGTCGGATAGAAACAGAACAAGTGCTTAGAGGGGACATCAGGGACTTTTTGGGAGAACTCACCAGTTCCTTCAGGGACTTGCGGTTCTGAATCTCCTTCTGTCCCTTCAGCCACTCCACGTAGTCAGCATCCTCCTGGTCCTGGGGAAGGTGAAGGCCTCTGCTCAGGTCTGTGGGAGCCCAGCCACCCCGCAGCCCAGCCCAGGCTCCTGCCCAGCCCGGCAGCCACCTTCTCCTCCCTGGTCTTCCTGCGCTTCTGCAGCAAGCCCGAGCCACCTTCTCCAGCACTGTCCTCGTCCTCGCTGTCCTCCACAAATGGCCGGAAGCTGCCATGACAGAAAAAAAACCTCAGGAACCACAGGCTGGCCCTGTTGGTGGCCCCCAAATTAACTCTGTGTACTGAGCTCTCCTCACAGCAAGCCTGGAGCAGCACTGCAACATTATTTGCCTTTATTTTTATTTTCTGCGGTACTGGAGATGTCTCAATGAGCGACATCCCAGTCCTCTGTGTTTTAAGACAGAGTCTCACTAAGTTGCCCAAGGTGAGACCTGAACTTCTGACTTCCTGTCTCAGCCTGCCAAAGTGCTGGGATCGCAGGCCCTCAATCCCACTATGCCCAGCTGTGCTGTGACATCAGTAGCCCCACTTAACAGACCGAGGAATCGAGGCACACAGAGAGTAAGCAGCAGTGCTTGCTTTGATCCCGGCCCCCGCCTCAACTCCTACCCCACAGTGCTCACACGAGCCCAGGCTCACCTGTCCCTAAGCTGCTTCTGTTCCTCCACATAACTCTGAGACGAAGTCTGCTGCAGACGAAGGAGGGGATGACATGGGCCTCAGACCACCCCAGGACTCTGGAGCCCCCCACCCAGCCTCCAGCCCAGCTACCTGGACTCTCTGATCAGAGGTCTCCCCATCTGAGTTCTCCTCATCGACGTACTTGCTGCACAGAGAAGGATGGGGGCTTTAGAACCCAGCTCCCAACTCACAACAGTTCAATTTACAATAGGTCAACTTTAGAATGGGCTTATCAGATATACTTTCCATGGTTTCCTATCCCATGCAGTGGGGAGCTGTTACAGGCATCTGGGGGAACCCACGGGAGTGTGTATGGGGTCACTCCTGCTTCCAGGAGACCCCTCAATTCCATGGACTTCTACCTCTACTCCTGAGAGGCCCAAGCTGCTGGGAAGGCTTTCTCTTACCCGCCTTTCTCCAAGATGACCTTCCTCTCGTAGTCTTTCAAGTACATAGGTTGCACTTTCTTCCGCTTCTGTGGGGCTGCTGACTCCTCCTCATTCTCCGAGGATGAGGGTGACTCTGTGGACCCTAAGGACACACCTGCCATCACCCACAATCCCCTTCCCTACCAGAGAATCACACAGGCAGGGCCAGGCTGAGGAACCAAATCCCATATACCGCTTCCACCCTGCAAAACAGCCTGGGGGCGGAGCATGTGGCAGCACAGACAGCGGCTGCTGGGATCCTCCAGGTTGAAATTTAGGCTTCAGACAGTACCTGAGCTACATCCCCAGCCCTGAGAATTTTATTTTGAGACAGAATATTGCTAAATTGCCCAGGTTGACCTTAAACTTGAGATCCTCCTGCCTCAGCCTCTGAAGGAGCACAGATCACAAGCGTGTATTGCCCTGTCAGGCCTCTTAAGCACTTTTTTGTTTTTTTGAGACAGGGTCTCACTATGTAGTCCGGGCTGGCCTTGAACTTGTAGCGACCCTCCTGCCTCAGCCTCCCGAGTCCTGGGTTTACAGGTGTGCACCACCATGCCCAGCCTATTAATAAGCACTTCTGCCATAAAACTGGTAAGGTACTGGAAAGGCGCCTCCCACCACACCTGTTCTCTGATAGAAGGTGGCATCTTTCTGATAAATGCGGGGGTCCTTCTTCTTCAACAGGGAGAGTGTCCTGTAAAAGTCTCGCTCCTGCTGGGGGTCAAATTCCTAGAGCAGGAAAGAGGTGGGACAGACTTCAGAAGGGAGGTGAGAACTGGATGGAAACAGATGACAGGGACGGCGTGCAACAGGGACAGGTGGACCAGACGGTGTGGGGATTAGGTGGAAGGAGGCCATGGACAGGACGGACTAGCCAGGAGAGGCAGGGGGTGGTCAACAGGAGGAAAGTCGGCGTGGTTTGGGGTTATGGCTCAGTGAGAATTAGGGAGCCACAGGGTGGGGGGGCAGGGCTTGGAGTTTAGGGCACTGAGGGCTTGGGGGTTAAGCCACTCCCTTGCACATCAGGGCTGGGGTCGAGTGGGAAGCTTGGACTCCTGGGCATGTCCAGGACCGGGGCGGGGATTCGCACCACGCGGGGATTCGCACCACGCGTTCGTCGCTGGAGTCAGACTCGGAGCTGGAGTCGCTGCCGCCGTGCGGGTCCCCATAGCGATCCTTCACTGTGGGGCATCGAAGGAATTTCCCCCGGATCAGACTCAGGAAACAGATCAGATACCTCTAACTTCCCAACCACCTTCCCTGCGCATGCGCCCCACACTCACGCCGTTGCAGCTCCTCGCGCTCCCGGTAGCGGCCATACCGCGCCGCAAAAGCCTTGTTCACCCGCAGAGGCGACGACCCGCGCGGTTCCGGCATGGCGACTCTGAGGCCCACCACGCACGCGCGTGACAGGAAACGCCCTCAGGGAGGCGGGACTGGCCCCGTTCCCGCCCCACTTCCAGCTTTAAAAGGGGCGGGGAAGCTTAATCCCGCCCCCATCCTTCCGGGATCCCGTTAGCCTCGTGACACCCCCCCCCGCGCGCGCCCATGGGCCACGCCCCTGCGGGGAAGGCCGCAGCCCCCGCCCCCACCCTTGGGGCTCCGGCCATCCAGCTGACATCTGGGGGCCCTTTCTCCACTCGCGGTTTCCTGCCTCCCTTCCGTTCCGACAGCGCCAACCGCTGCCCCACCCAGCTCACTGGCCCTGTGCCCTGGGAATGACCAGTCTGTCCCCTCCCCCACAGCATCCATCGTCTGCGACCCCCAGGCTCAGCCCCATCCAAGATGCCAATTCCCCATCCCAGACTCACAAATCAGAAACAAACTCACACTGTGAACATGCACAAGTCTTAATTTAATGGGTAAAAACGTTAAATTATCACACACACAACAATTTTTTCAATAAAGCTTAATAAATAGAATCTCTCTTTTTCAACGCTGTACAAGAGATTGGAAAAAAGCTTCCAACAAAATATGAAAGAACTCATGTTGCCCTTTAATTAATCTGGAACGCTTCCCCCTCCCCCCATGGGCGAAACAGGGTGCAGACTTCAGTACTCTCTCCGAGCACAGCTGGCCAAGGTCACCAGGTTCCAGGAGTCCTGGGAGCAATTACTTCACTCCGGCTGGGGCTTTAACGCTCTGCCCTTGGGTCATGTCTGCACCCCTGGGGTGCAGAAGAAACTGAACCGTTCAGGTGTCTGTCGCCTAGCAGAGCTCTTCTCTGTCCAACACACCAAAAGGGTGAGAAAACAAATGAGAAACGTCCCCCAAACACACACATCCCAGAAATCAACACCAATAAGCCACAAACTGGTCCTCCTCCCCCTTCCTCAGTGGGCAGGATCTTAGAGGAGAGAGTGTTTCTTCCCTCCTCTTCGGATAGATAAACCCACAAGGTTCACTGGCTGGAGCAGGTGGCCCTGGGTCACAGTGGGATCACCTTGTGCCCCTGCAGGATGTCCAAGAGGTCCTGAGCCCCCCTCTGCCGTGCCAGCTCCAGAGGTGTGAGCCCCGCGGCGTCCCTGTGATGGAGATCAGACTCCGGAGCCAGGAAGCTGACCACCGAGGCGTGGCCCTCACGCACCGCCAGGTGGATGGGCAGTGACCCAGTGCCATCGGGCATGTTGACATCAGCGCCGTATTCCACGAGGACCTTCAGGGTGTCCAGGAATCCAGTTCGGGCTGCATCGTGGACCGGACTGGTGCCAGAGGCATCCTGGATATTGGGGCTGGCACCCTGTTTCAGCAGCTCCTGGGCGATGGTGAGGCTGCCAAACATCATCACCTATGTGGGTACAGAGGGTCAGCGAGTCCCAAGGAGGGGGGTGTCCAGAAAAAGGGTTCACTGGAGAAATAAAGGTCTCCAAGAAAGAGCGGTTTTCCGGGCATAGAGAATGCCAGAGAAGGGGTCACCTCTAGGGACACCCAGGGAAGATGACCCCCTGGGGAGCCGTTGACGATCTGAGAGAACAAGTTTGGGAATTAGCAATCTCCAAGAAGCTGGTCACTCCCTTAATAATACAATGAGACCCTAACCTAAAGAATAACTCGAATGAAAACCTGTAGGAATTGAAACCCTCCCTCACCCCCAGATACGGGAAATCACCGAGAAATCTAAAATCCAGTCAAGGAAATGAGCACCCATAGACTGAGAGCTGCCCCTAAAGAACTTGACGGTCCTCTCTGGGGACAGGAAATGCTCGGGGAATTTGCAACTCCTTTCTCCAAGGAAAAGCCGCTTCCTATATATGAGGGTGCTCCTCGGGATACCTTAGCACCCCTACCCTGTAAAATGCACCCCTATGGGAACAGGGAACTCATGCAATTAAAACACTTTTCCTCCGTTGGGGGTCCCTAAAAGATATCAAGAATCCTCACAACCCCAAGGAATGAAGACTTCTCCTAAGTAACTCGTTATCTTTCAGAGTCACCCTAGAAATTGAGATCTCCCCCGAGATAGACAAGAATCCCCTCTAGAGAGATCAGAATTCCTCTGGGAGCTGTCCCAGCAGAAGGGGGACCCAGAAAGACTGACCCCTCCCGCTCCCCGCCGCCATAAAAATCTTACCAAGTGAGGGGGGAGATCAGAACGTTTGCAGGGAAAATGACCCCTCCCCCCACGAACGCAGAGAACGAGGATCCTGCGGAGGATGGAAAGCAGCCCTCCCCTCCCCCAACCAGCCCTTCCACCTGAAGAAAAGGCGCCTTGGGGGAAGCACAGGAGCCCCCAAGGAGGAGGCCCCGCACCAGAGAGTCGGCACCGGGCCAGGGCCGGGTCCCGGGCGCGCCCGCCCACCTGCAGCGCCGTCTTGCCGAAGCGGTTGAGGGCGTCCGGGTGCACGAGCTCGCGGTACAGCAGGCGGCGCACCTCCTGCACGTCTCCCCGGGCCGCGGCCCCACTCAGCCGGTCGCCGGCGCGGACCTCCTCCAGCATCATGGTGACACGGGTGGCCTGCGGAGCCCCCGCCCCGGCGTGGTCAGTGCGTGCGGGGAGCGCGCGGGTCCCGGCCTGGGCCGCCTCGCTTCGCCGCCCGGCCTGCGTTCGACTGCGACCCCCGCCCTCGCAGCCGGCTCCTCCTCCTGTCACCCAAGCCCTTAGTGAACGCGGCTGGGAACCCGGCCCAACCCTCGGTCGCTGGCCGGGCCCTGCCCGACGCCCGCCCCTAGTGGGCCGGGTCTCCTCCCAACTCACCCTCCCTCCTCCTCTTCCGCGGGCGGGGTCTGCTCTGAGCCTGCGCCGCCGCCGCCTCGGAGTCAGCCTCTAGGGGGCGGAGCCAGCGAGTCCGCGGCCACGCCCCCGATTTGTTTTCTTACAAACTCGCGATCTTGTAGCTGAGCTGCCTTGCCCAACTCACGACCCTACGGTGCTCCGCCCACAGAATCCAGACAGCCAATGACCGAGCGTTGCTGGGGAGGTTTCGCTCGCGAGCGTGGGTTGTGTCTCTCCTGATTGGATAGAACTCTCTACCGCTGGACCGCCCGCAATGGCGGGGTTTTCGGTTTTTAAACCCGCCCAGCGGGCGGGAAAGAGAGAGGGTTTAACTGACCCGCGGGAGAAAGGTCAGGGGACAGGATAGCGCGGGCTACTCAGACTTTGGCGCCTCCTGGGGGAAGGGAGGCAGGGCTGGGGCTTCCCAGTATGGGGATCTATTATTCTTCCCTCCCCCCAATACCGGGGATTGAACTCACGACCTTGCGCTTGCAAGGCAGACGCGTTGCCACTGAACTAAATCCCCGGCGAGATGTATTATTCTTTCACCCTAGGAGCATTTATTATCTCTTCGAGTGTGCTAAGAGCTTTATTTCATTCATTCGTTCACACCTTATGCACAGGAAGCGTCCTGGATGCGCAGGAGCGAACATTCAGATAGCTAAGTCATTTAGATGGCGTTCAGAGCCACGAAAATAGGGAAACGGGATGCATGAGAAAGGAATCGAGCTCTGGCTCACACTGAACCCTCCCAGGCAAGGAAGAAAGCCGAACCTGGAGCCGCCACGTGGGATGCGCCAGCCTGGAGCAGTCGGTGGCAGCTACCTGGGCTTCATTCAAATCTTGACTGAGCACCTCCTGGGAGCGCCCAACTGCGGAGTCGGGGTGTGGGGGGTAAAAACGAAATCTTTGCCAAGTGATAAAGGCTACGGGGGCCGATAGGACAGGTGACAGGACCTTGGGAAAGCAAGGCCATTGATATAGGAGGTTACAGGGAGGGTCTCCCCGAAGAGGTGGCATTAAGGTCCGAAGGTGCAGGAGGGAGCCTGAGCATATCTGATCTGCAAAGGAAAGTGCGAGGGAGCGGCACATGCAAAGCCCCTGCAGTAGCAGTGAGCCTGGTATGATCTAGGGAGGGAGAGTGAAAGGAGAGGATGGCAAGGAGGTATGGGGGGGGCGGGGGTAGGATGGGGTTGTGCAGCTCCTGGGCCAGTGGCCTGGCAGTGACTTACTTTTAACCAGATGGGAACTGCGGAGAGAGGGTTTTAGACAGAATTGCTTGGACTGCTGTACTGTATTACAAGTTAAGGCGCCCCCTAGCGGCCGTGGAGGGACGTGCTGTGGCGGGGAAGTGGAGGCTGGAGGCCTGGCCCAGGGGAGCACAGGGGAGCTGAGGAAGGGTCATGGGGTGAATGGACACCCGCACTGCAGGGACGTCCCCGGCACTCTCAGCCCTTGCCAAGAACACATTCAAAGTGGCCAGATTTATCGTTTTACTGACACCCTAAAACAGGGGTGGGCTCAGCAGCCATGAAGGAGGAGGCCTGAACCCCCTAAGGCAGTCACTGGAGGAAGGCACTCGTGAGGGGGGCTTCAAGCCCCTCTTCTTTCTTCATATAAAATGGGGTGGGGAGCCCCAAGAGCGAGGGAGGCAGAGACCATCTTCCCAGCCCACCGGAGAGAAGACGGGAGGAAGGGGAGGAAGGGGTTGGAGCTAGAAGAAGGAACTGGCAAGGGGCAGCTGCACAAATGTGGACACACACACACACACACACACACACACACACCCTGCCCTCCCTGCGCTTCACTCTGCGGTCTGGAAAGAGAGAGCTCCTAGTTCCAGGCCCCACTTCTTGTCCTTTCTAGCTGGTCCGAAGTTGATAATCTGCAGGAAAAGTAAAGTAAGGACCACCTTAGCATTGAGAAAAGGGGAAGACAGGGCCCGGGATTTGAGATAGGCACTGTGCCTGTCTCAAAAGCACAAGGTCCCAGGGCCGGGGATTTAGCTCAGTGGTTTTGCCTCCTGCTGCACAAGCGCAAGGACCTGAGTTTGATCCCCGGTACCAAAAAAAAAAAAAGAAAAAAAAAGAGCACAAGGTCCTGAGTTTGAACCCCGGTACCACAAAAACAAACAAGAAAAGGGGAAGATAAGGGGTGCCCCATACGACAAGTCCATCTCCACACCCAACCATCATAATGACCCCTTGGAGTATTTAACAAAGTTCAACTGAGCATGGTGACATGTGCCAGTGATCCCAGCACTCAGGAGGTTGAGGCAGGAGGATCACTGTGAGTTCAAGGCCAGCTTGAACTACATAGTGGACCCTGCCCCAAAAAACCTAAACTTAAAAAAAAAATACAAAGGGCTGATGATGTAGCTTAGTGCAAGGGCCCTAGGTTTAATCCCAAGTACCAAAAATAACCACCTCTCACTTTGTGGTGAAACACAGGCACCATAACCTTGCTGACAAGCTGGTTTCTAGGCAACAAATGAGGGTGCTATGAACCCAGCCTTTTTTTTTTTTTTTCTGAGACAGGGTCTCACTGTGTTGTTCAGGCTGATCTTGAACTTGCAGTGATCCTCCTGCCTCAGCCTCCCAGGTGCTGGGATTCAGGCGTGTGCCACCATGCCTTTTATCCAAGCCTTAGGGGTACCCTGGAGATCATCATGAACCCCACTTTAAAGACGTGCAAACTGGGGTCCAGGACATATGACAGGGACAGTTTCTGAGCTGTCCTGACCACAACGTGGTCAGAGCTGAGTCCCCACCGATCCACCTCCCCGCCCTTGTGTCCCAGGGAGCCAGGCCCCTGACCTCCACTCTGGGTGATGTAGCGAACCCAGGGCAGGGCCTGGTAACCACTCTTCTCAATGATCTTCATGTATCGGACCTGGACGGGGAGGAAAAGAGGTGACCCAGGACTGGGGAGGGAGGTGGCCTGGGGCTGGGGTTGGGGAAGAGGAAGCTAGTTTGGACCAGGGGAACGTGCATAGCACCTTGGAGGGATAAAGTGCCATAGGACAAAGACCACGGGACAGGGACCTAGGGCGAGACACGGCTTAGTGGGAGGTAACACAAGGCAGGGAAGGAAGGGGACTTGGGCTAAGGGATGTGACGTAGGGACAGCCTTGCCCTGCCCACGCCTCTCACCTGGATGCCGGAAACGGTGAAGTAGGGGATCTCAAACTTGACCCCGATGGGGGGCCGGCCATCCACCTCCTCCTTCTCCACGCTGGGGAGGCCAAAGTGGGCCCGCATCAGGTACTCCTTGCCCCCCTGAGGAGACACGGAGGTGTCAGCCTTCTGGGGCCCCAATCTGCCTGGCCCACCCCAGGGCCTGATCTGTGCAGACCCATTGCACAGATGTGAATAGTCAAGGCTTAGGGAAGGATGCACAGGAGATGCTTTGGAATACCGATGGGGGAGGGGCTAGGAATCGCCATTTCGGGTCCTCAGCCCCAACCCCCACCTGGCCCACCCAGTGACAGGGACAGCACCCTCTTCGGTGGCTGGGAGCAGGTAGCCCATGCCGGTAGTCTTAGGGACTGGGGAGAGGGGAGGTAGGACTAGCGAAAATTTGAGGCCAGCCTGGGAAATTTAGCAAGACTCTGTCTCAAAAACAAACAAAACAAAATATCCAGGTGTGATCCCACAAACCTGTAATCCCAGCACCCAGGGAGGCTGAGGCAGGAGAATCAAAAGTTCAAGCCTAGGCTAGGCACCTTGGTGACTTATCAAGACTCTGTCCCCCAAAACAAAAACTCTCCAGGAAGTCAGGCATGATGCTGCATAGCTCTAATCTCAGCACTCTGGGAGGCTGAGGCAAGAGTATAATTTCAGGACTAGCCTGGGCAAAAATAAAATAAAGAAAAAAACCAGTGGCTCGAGGATGTGAATAAAACATCCCCCAGCCCATTCCACACACCAGTAAACTGAGTCCACGAAGTCAAATGGGTTTCCCAAGCCCATAAGCCTCAGCAAAGCAAGAATAGGGCAGGGGATTTAGCTCAGTGGCACCTCTCCTGCCTGGCAAGTGCAAGGTCCTGAGTTCGATCCTTGGTACCAAAGTGGGAAAAAAAGCAAGAGTAGCCTGATGTGGTGGTGCAGACATGTAATCCCAGCGCTTGGGAGGCTGAGGCAGGAGGACAGTCATGAGTTGGAGGCCAGCCTGGGATACATAGTGAGTTCAAGGCCAGCCTGAACAACACAATGAGACCCCGTCTCCCCACCCCCCTCAAAAAAACTACTTTGAGATAGTGAGACCTTGTCCCAAAGCACTAAAAAAAAGAAAGACAGAAGAAATGCAAGGGTCAGAATTTGAACCCCAAACTGGTTTCCGGAAGTTATCCACTCCCTCCATTCCATGCCACCTGCATAGGGCTCAGCTCCATACAGTGCCTTCCTCCCAGGTCCCCTCATGTCACCAGCACTCACCGGGAAGGATTTAATACTCCAGATAACGACATTCTTCTCTGGCACATACTTGGCACTCCCCACACTGGTCTTGAAACGAGGGGAATCAGCATCACTGGGGACAGGCACGGAAATCTCCACACCATTGGCCACAGACTGCTTCTTAAACTGCCCCTTAGCCTGTCAGGAGAGAGCGTGGGTATGAGGAATTAACTCACAAGCTGGGCATGGTAGTGCACGCCTGTACCCCAGCACTCAGGTGGCTGAGGCAGGAGAATCGCCTTGAGTTGCAGGCCAGCCTGGGCTACATAGTGAGACCTTGTCTCAAAAAAGAAAAGGGGCCAGGGATTTAGTTCAGTGGCACCGTCCCTGCCTTGAAAATGCAAGGTCCTGAGCTCAATCCCTGGTACAAAAAAAAAAAAAAGAAAAAGAAAAAATGAAGAAAAGATCAGAGCATCCAGGGCAAACACAGTGGCAAGTGGAAAGGTCCTGAGGCCATGCGGTGCCAGCCCTATGTGGAGTCCAGCCAGGGAGCCCCGTGTGGCAGGGCAGAGCCTCCATGGGCGATACCCGCCTCCCGCACCTTGACCATGATCTCCACTCGGCTGTGGGAGAACTTCTCGATGATAGACTCAATCCAGATGAGCGGCTTGACCTGTGGACAAAGGACGGGGACAGTGCTCAGGACGACCAGCGATCTTCATTTCACCCTGCTGCTGCCTACCACGCCTGCGCACCTGTGTGCTGAGCCGGTAGGACATGAGCTCAAAGTCGCCATCGGGCGGGATGAAGGAGATGGTGCGGTCGTTGTCGAAGCGTGACAGCCGCACGCACTGGTGGAACTTGACGTCCTCCAGCTCCACGGACTTGTTCTTGCTGCCTGAAACTCAGAGCCCAGGGCGCCAGGTCATCTGCCTGTCCATGACCACCTATGCTCCACTGAACAGACCAGGAAACTGAGTCCCAGACCCTACAGGGCAGAGTGGGCTCTGGGAGTCTGGCTCCCACTTTTACTTTTTTTCTCTGCTTTTTAAATTTTTCTTCAGTACTGGACACTGAACCTAGGGTCTTTGAACTGTCTCATCCCCAAGTGCCACCCCCCAATTTTTAAAAATTTACTTTGAGACAAGGTCTCACTAAGTCACTTGAATTGCTAAGGTTGGGCTGAAACTTGGGATCCTCTCGCCTCAGCCTCCCAGAGAGCTGGGATTACAGATGTGAGCCACCAAGGCTGGCTTTGTTTCCTTTCTTTTTTTCTGTCCTGAGGATTGGACCCAGGGCCTTTGCAGTGAACTATATCTGAAACCCCACCCCCTTTTGCAACCCTTTTGTTCCTCTTTGGTTTGTTAGTGGTTTTTGTTTGCTTGTGGAGGTTTTTGTTTTGTTTTGTTTTGTTTTATTTTGTTTTTTAGTTTTTTGAGACAGGGTCTCATTATGTAGTTCAGGCTGGCCTCGAACTCTCAGTGATCCTCCTGCCTCAGCCTCCAGAGTGCTGGAATTACAGTCCTGTGCCACCACACCAGGCTTAGACTTTTCTTTTCTGTTTTCTTTTGAGTCAGGGTCTAGCTATACAAATATTCCTCATTTAAGGATCTACCTGTTTAATGACTGTTTGGACTTATGACCTGCCACTCAGACTTATGAGTCCTCTTTTTTGGTACATTTCTGTATATCTTGTTGATAGAGCCCCAATGCCTTTTTTGGGTACAGTACACCTTGTTTATACAGTGCTGTAATTTTGCTAATTGCACTGTACATACAGCACTGTAGTTTTCTGTTCTGTTATTCATTACAGTACTGCATAGAAGAGTTATGCAAGTAAAAGCAAAGTCATCAAGTTGGAGCTTCCTTGGACCACTTCTTTGTTCTGAATATTGTAGTGTCCGTGCTATATACAATTCCTCATTTAGCGACTGATTCATTTAATGACCTAGTGGAGGAAATGCATCATTAAATGATGAATGCCTATAGCCTATTGTTTTCCTTTTTCTTTTTTTGTTTTGAGAGACAGGGTCTCAGACAGTTCACTGTCCTTGAATTTGCTATGCAGCCCAGGCTGGCCTCAAACTTGGGGCGATCCTCCTCCCTCAGCCTCCTGAGTGCTAGGAACACAGGTGTGTGCCACTCCACCTGTCTAAAGCTTAGACTTTCAGTATCATGTTAAGGGGCCAGGGGTATAGCTCAGTGGTAGAGCACTCGGATAGCATAGGATGCATAAGGCCGTGGGTTTGATCCCCAGTACTGCAAAGAAAAGAACAACAAGCATCATATAAACGTGTTTCCTTCTCCCAGGAGAAGGTCAAGGACAGGATGTGAGGCCAGACAAGAACAATGCCGGAAACGCAGCCAACTCAATAACAAAAACGCATTTGCTCAGAGAACCTCTGGGTGCAGTTCTGCGCATTACCAGAAGAGGGCGCGCGAAAACTATAAAACTGGCTGCAATTGTTGGGGACCCCTTGTACCCACGGGACAGGGGAGCCCCCCAGAATCTTACGGCCAGTGAGCTCAAAGAGCACGCGGTCGTTGAGGCCCAGCCGCAGCTCTGGCATCCCGGACAGAAACACCTTAAGTTTGATGCTGCCCACGATCTCACTGAGCAGGACACTGCCGTTGGCATTGACCTGCAGATGACAGGCAGGGCAGTCAGCAGGCACCGGATCCCCTCCCCTGTCCCAGGCCCTGGGGTGCCGTGTGTGGGACTCACCAGCAGGTTGACAGACTCTATGACGTCGATGAAGACCTCGTTCTTCTTGTACTTGAGGCCCTCTGAGCGCCAAGACACTGCGTTGGTGACAGTGGGCGGCACCCGAGACTTGCCCGTCTCCAGCTTGTTGCCCTGTTGTGTGATGTACCTGGCAGGAGGGCACCAGGGACAGCTAGACCCAGGGATGCCACTGTGGGCCCCCTGTGCCCTGCCACGGGGCCCACTCACTCCTGCAGGATCTTGCTATCCGTAGTCTGTGGGAAGCCGAAGTCCATGAGCTCGTCCAGCAGCTCGTACACGATGACAAAGTTGTCACGGATGCTCTCCTCCTCCAGCTCCTTGAAGTACTCACAGAAGACCTGGTATGGAGAGAAGCGGACATCCACCCAGTGTCACCACGGCTATAGGCCACCCAACAACAGTGTCTCATTGAGTTGCCCAAGCTGGCCTCAAATGTATGATCCTCCTGCCTCAGCCTCCTGAGTAGTGGGGGTTACAGTGGTGTTCCACATTGCCTGGCTGGAAACTTTTTTTTTTTGCATTACTGGGCATTGAAGCCAGAGCCTTCACACTGAAACCAGGGCCTTTTTATTTTGAATGTTGAGACAGTCTTGCTAAGTTGCCCAGGCTGTCCTTGAATTTGCAATCTTCCTGCCTCAGCCTCCCAAATAGCTAGGATTATAGGCATCTACTACCATGCTCCACTCAGTAAATATTTCTTATTTCTTTTTTGTTGTTGCTGTTTTAAGACAAGAGTCTCACTATGCAGTTTGGGCTTTGAACTAACAGTGTAGCCAGGCTGGCCTCTAACTCCCAGTGATCCCCCTGCCTCCGCCTCTTGAGTGCTGGGATTACAAGCATGTGCCACTGTGCTCTGCTCATGGGTCAAAAATATTCAAGGAACACTGCAGGCTAGAGATGGTACTCTTCGAAAGAGCAGATACCCAGCATGTGCCAGGGTGTGAACTCTGTACCCAGCACCACAAAGTAAAAAAAAAAAAATTGCATTATGTACTGAACATGAGTAACTATCCTTGTCACCATTCCTTAAACAATACAGTTTAACAACGATCTTGAAAACCAGATTTGGGGATCTCAGGGGTCCTAGAACAAATTCCTCAAGGGTATCAAGGGACTACTACACTTGTTAAGCTTCTAGACACTTTTTTTTCTTTTTGAGATAGGTTTTCACTATGTAGCCTAGGCTGGCCTTGAACTTGGAGTGATCCTCCTGCCTCAGCCTCCCTGGTGCTGGCATTACAGATCTGCTCTGGCTCTAGACACTTTATGTGCATTAATTAATGTACAACCACCCCGAGGCAGGACTTGTTCCATCCCGTTTGGAGGCACAGGGAGCAGTGAGGAAGCTTGTTCAAGGTCACAGCCATGAAGTAGGGGAGCTCTCTGGCTCAGAAATGAGCCACACACCTTCTCAGGGACCTCCTGAGATCCACTCCAGGAGGGGAAAGGATCTCCTGACAACTAATGAGACAAAGGAGCTGGGGTTTAGATGCAGGGGCACAGGCAGGCTGGTAACCAGCAAAGTGCAGCGGAAGTCAGGGCAGGCTTCCAGGACAGGCCGCTCTGAAAGAGGCGGGTTTGACGAGAAGACTGACAGAAGAGCCGGCCAATGAGAGGCCAGTACCCACCTCCACCGTCTTGTAGAGGAAGGAGTAGACCAGAGAGGCGTTGGCGTTCTTCAGCGTGGTGGCCACCACTGCACAGCAAGGTTAAGGAAAACGTGCCATTCTGGGGACTCCAAAGGGGTACAGACCCTGAAGTGCCACTACTCTTTTTTTTGAGACAGAGTCTCAGTATGTAGTTCAGGCTGGCCTACAGCTTGTGGTAATCTTCCTGCCTCAGCCTCCGGAGGGCTGGGATGACAGGTGTGCACCACCACACCAGGCAAACACCTGCATATCTAACCTCACCCCACCACCGTTGCTGCAGAACCAACTGCTGTTCAACTCCCGATTTCACCCCACCCTCTCTGGGCCTGGGCGGATGCAGTACAGGTTGCTGTGTTTGATCCACAGGAAGTGTACACGGCCGTGGCTCAGCAGTGGGGCCAGCGCGCCCTCCTCCTCACGCTGCATGAGCAGAGGCATGAAGTGGTCGATCTCGCTCATGGCCACATCACCCTTGTAGTTTCGGCTGATCAGGGGCTGTGGGTGGACAGAGGACTTGGTCACCGCTAGAGCCCAATTCAGATTGGACTTCCTAGCTGGGGGAACTGGGCAAGGCTCTGCTTCTATGTGCCTCAGTTTCCCCTTTTGTACAATGAGTGTGTGATGGCAATAGGCAATGAGCCACAGTGCTGAGGCCCCAGTGCTTTTTCTACCAGACAGTGCGTGTCAAGGGGGTACAAGCCTGTAATCCCAGCTACTCCGGAGGCTGAGGCAGGAATATTGCAAATTTGAGGCCAGCCTGAGAAACATGGCAACAACTTGTCTCAAAGTAAAAAATAAATTTTTTGAGACAAGGTCTTGATATGTAGTTCAGTGTGCCCTCAAACTGGGGGGAATCCTCCTGCCTCAGCCTCCCTAGTGCTGGGATTACAAGTGTGCAACACCATGGCTAGCTACAATTTCTGCTCTTGTCCAAGACTTCATATGTCCCAAACAGGTGAGGTTGGGGTTATTTGGGAGTCTTGTTGTTTGTTTGTTTTATGACACTGTTTCACAATATTGGCCAGGCTGATTTTGAGTTCCTGGGCTCCATTGAGCCTCCTGCCTCAGCCTCTGGAGTAGCTGGGACTACAGGTGCACGGCACTGCTCCCTGCTAGGCTCTCACTATTATTATTAGCAGGACTATTGTGTGCACCAGGATGGCTATGAAGGGACTAGGGACTTGCCACTAAAGGAAGGGACTAGGCATCTCCAAAGAGGAATTAGGGGCTCCTGCCCTCAGGCTGATGGAAATATTTATTTATTATTAATTTATTTATTTGGTGCAGCACTAGGGACCCAATCCAGGGCCTTAAGTCTGAGCTCCATCCCCAGCCCATTCTTTTTTTTTTTCTTTTTTTTGGTACCAGGGATCGAACTTGGGACCTTGCACTTTCGAGGCAGGCGCCAGAACTACTGAGCTAAATCCCTGGCCCTTTTAAAAAAAATTTTAGGGGCCAGGGATTTAGCTCAGTGGCTCCGGCGCCTGCCTCGTAAGCGCAAGGTCCCAAGTTCGATCCCCGGTACCAAAAAAAAAAAAAAATTTTTTTTGAGACAGGGTCAGGCTAAGTCACTAGGTTGCCCAGACAGGGCTCAAACTTGTGGTCCTTCTGCCTCGGCCTCCAGGGGGCTGGCTCTGCGCCACCGTGCAAAATCGTCTACTGAGAGCCTAGAACGTGCAGCAGGCCACCTGCTGAGTGGTCCGCACCCACTGGGCCTCATCAGTTCTCCTCGGCCGGCTTTGTCGTTCTGTTACAAACAGAGAAACTGAGGCTCGGATGCGGAGGAAGGCCTCTGCTCAGGGAGCGAGACTGGTCCAAGGTAGGGGTGGACTCGACCCCGGGGTCCCGGACGGCTGGGGGAGGGTGCGGGGCCATTCCCACGCGCCTCTGCAGGGTCCCCCCGGGTCTGCGCGAAGGGGCTGCCCTGCCCCAGGCCGCGCACCCTCACTGTCCCCCCAGCCTCACCTTGCCCTTGATGTCTAGGATGAACACGGCCGAGGCGGACATGGTGGCGCCGGGGACCTGGCGGGTGGAGGGCCGGCGGGAGGGGCGGCTTCCTCCTTCCTGCGGAAGCGCCTGCGCCCAGGTGAGCGCCCAGGTGAGCAAGGCGGGAAGGGGAGGCGCCAGGTGTGCGGCGGAAGTCGGAGCCAGGCCCGAGGGCGTCGGGCACCTCGCTCTTCCCGGACCGGGTGGGGAGCAGCAGAGACTCTCAGCCGTGGCTATTGGTCCGTCCATCCATCCACTTATCCACTATCCACTCACCCATCTTTTTTTGTTTTGTTTCTTTTGGTCTCGCTGTGTAGCCCAGGTTGGACTCGAACTCCTGGTGATCCCCCGCCTCAGCCTCCTCAGTGCTGGGATTATAGGTGTGAGCCACCACAACAAATGTTATCACTGGTAATGTTACTTGCATTCATTCATTCTGAAACACTGGGCTGGGATTAAAGCTCAGTGGTAGTGACATAGCCAGAGACCAAGTAGGGACAAAGGACAAACTCCTGGTGCTTAATCCCCTTGATGTGTGTTTTGTTCTGAGGCAGCCAGGAGCCTCAGAGTGGTTTTTGCTTAAAACTGTGACTTTTCCCTTGGGGCTACAAAAGCCCACTAGGGGCTCAAGAGCCTATAACCTGAGTAATCGGGAGTCTGAGGCTGGAGGATTGTGCATTTAGGCCAGCCTGGGCAATTTACTGAGATCCTGTCTCAGAATAGTGATGATGGTGATGATGATGATGATAATGATGGCGGCTGGGGTATAGCTTGATGACAGAGGACTTGCCTAGCATGGGAGAGGTCTGGGCACCATCCCACTGAATATAAAAGCAAAACAGCTTCCCTATGTCCCGTTAGTACCCAGTAGTTGTCCAATAAATATTTGTGAAATGACTAATATTTAATATAGTAATCCTAGTTGTAAAACCTTTTTTTTTCAGTACTGAGGCTGTAACCCAAAGCTTGCACCCTGAGCTACATCCCTAGCCCTTTTAATCTTTATTTTTTAGTTTTTGGAGACAAAGTCTTGCTGTGCAGCCCAGCCTGGCCTGGAACTCGCTGCGATCCTGGGATTAGAAGCATCTGGTGGGAAGCTGTTTTTTTATGGCGATGATTTATTCAGTGAGTGAATATTAACTACATATCCATGACACAGTGAATAATGACGTGGATAAAGTCACCACCGTGTTGCAAGATGCAGCATGAAAACCCCAGAACAGCTGGCGATGCATACCTGTCATCCCAGCACTCTGGAGGCTGAGGCAGGAGGATTGCAATTCAAGCCCTGAGGCAGGAAGATTTGCAATTTAGAGAGATCTTATCTCAAAATAAATAATAAAAATAAAAAGGGCTGGGGATGTAGCTCAGTGCAAAGGCTGGGTTCCATCTCCAGTACCACAAACAGAGCAGCCCCCATGATCCCTGAGGACTGGAGTGGGTGGGAGGAGTGTAACTGAGAGTCCTGGGAAAGTCACACCGGAAGTAGCGGTGATCTTCCCTTCCTCTCTCGGCTGTGTGGAGCCCTTCACTGTGTAGCGGGTGTCACAGAGTCTCTGGCTGGGAATTTCCACTGTGAGTTTATGAGCAGGGAGAATTCAAGGGGAAGCCCCTGAGCAGGCCCGGGTACAAAACTAGTGCTAGGGCCGGGGATTTAGCCCAGTGGTTCCTGCGCCTGCTTCGAAAGCACAAGGACCTGAGTTCAATCCCCAGTATCAAAAAAAAAAAACCCCAAACAAAACCAGTGCTAGGTTTTTGTTGGTGTTTGATGTTTTATTTAATTAATTTATTTATTATTTATGAGGGTTCTGGGCAATTGAACCCATGGCCTTCTCACTGAGCTACATCCCCAGCAGCGGATTTTTTTTTTTTTTTTTTTTGAGACAGGATCTCACCAAGTTACACAGGCTAGGCTCCAACTGGGGATCCTCCTGCCTCAGCCTTCCAGAGTCCTGGGATCAAACACCTGGCTGAATTTCTAGGATGTTAACTGCAGGGGAGTTGGGGAAAAAATGTGAACCTCAACCTAGGCCAGACACAGCAGGCTCTACTGGGGGGAAAGGGGCCTTGCAGCGCCTCCAGGGGAAGATACTGAGGTGTTCAGTATCCAGTTCCCTTCCCAGATCTAGCACTGACTTTTATGGGCTCCTGGGGTGGGGACCTGAGGGGTAGGAGAGAAGCAGTCGGTATCAGAGCAGCTCATGCCTCTCTCCACTAGAGGCCAATGTGGCCCATAACACAGCCCCTGTGCGCTGCTCTTAACAGCTTATCACCCAGCCCCTCTCCTTCATATCATCTTTTTTTTTGCGGTACCAGGGATCGAACCCAGGACCTTTCACTTGCAAGGCAGGTGAGGGGCCACTGAGCTAAATCCCAGGCCCTTCCTTCATATCATCTTACAGGGGCAGCAGCAGATGCACAGAGAGGTCAAGCCACTTGCTCAAGGCTACACAGCCAGAAGGTCAATGAACCAGAATTTGAGCTTGACTTCTGGAGTTCAAGAGCCTGGGCTGGGCTAGGGGTGTAGCTCAGTGCTAGAGCTCTTGCCTGGCGTGGGCTCCCGAATGTGATGCAACTATGACTTTTCTTTTTTGAGACGGGGTCTCACTATATAGCTCAGGGTGGCCTCAAACTCAAGGCAGTCCTCCTGCCTCAGCCACCCCAGTGCTGGGATGACAGGTGTGCACCACCACTCCCAGCAGAAGGTGGGGGAGCAGTTCTGGAAGCCCTCCTTCCTCCTTACAAGATGTGATTTAAAAAATACAGTGAATGCTGGTTTCCATCGAATGGAAAGGCAGTTTGTAAAAAATGAGGGTGACCTCATCCACCTTATTCACTGGATTTGGCACCATGCAACTTCTGGCTCTTTCCAAAGTCAAAATGACCATGAAAAGGAACATTTGGAATCCATGGAGGACATTAAGGCAGCCACAGCAGAACAGCTGAATTTCTCAATCACATCTTGAAAATCTCAGCCCTTTTCATCTTATTTTGAGACAAGGTTTCATTAAATTGGCCAGGCTGGTTTTGAACTTGTGTTCCTCCTGCCTCAGCCTCCAGGGCAGCTGGGATTCCAGGCTTACACCACTGGGATCACCTGTTATGCTCATTTGACAGAGAAACTGAGGCTTGGCTCAGAGAGGGTAGGAGATTTGCACAGAGTCATCTAGCCTGAAGTGGCAGGCCTGGGATTCAAACCCTGCCAAGCACAAGACTTAACACTCCCTCTGGCTCCAAGAGTGGGAGGAGGGATGACCAGGGGTACTGGGTATGGTGGTGCACACCTGTCAACCCAGCACTTGGGAGGCTGAGGCAGGAGGATCATCGTGAGTTCAAGGCCAGCCTGGGCTACATAGTGAGACTCTTTGTCTCAAAAAAAGAAAAGAAAGGCATGGCCAGGCCCTTGCCTCAGCCCACATTTCCCAGAACCTTCCAAGAATCCCTCTCTTGGGTCATGAAGCTGTTTTCTGACAGTAAATAGAACCCAAGGCCTGGGCCCAGCGCCCTGGAATCTGAAACTCAGGGCTTGTTTGGTTGAAAAATTCATGAGCCCAAACCCTACGTGGGGTCGGGGAACACAGAGCTCTGTGTTCTGCCTCTGCCCTGCCCGCCCCGCCTCAGCAGCGGTCACCCCTGTCCCTGGGGGCTGTGGCCCTTCCAGTTCCTCCTGAATGTCCACATCCTCCCTGCCCCTGGGGCCCAAGCCCATTTTGTCCCCACCCCACAGGAGGGCTTCTTTAGAACTAAGTACCCCGCCATGCCCACCGTGTCTCCTCATCGCCCTCCAGCGGCCGCACCCGGCACAGTCACGGCCCCCCTGACCGCAGCCCCCGGGTAGCACTTGCAGCCCTTGCCCCAGAGAGTCACTTTTCCAGTTTCAGTTCCTCTCTGTCTTTCTCTTTTGTCACTTGACCTCTTGCAGAACTCTCACCTCTTTTGCTTTTTTCTGTCTTCCCACCCTGTGTCTAGGGCAGGTCCCTCCTCCACTCTCTGGACCTAGTGCTCTCCTCCTCCAACTTTCTATTATTATTTGTTTGTTTGTTTGCTCTTTTTTTTTTTTTTTTTTGGTACCGGGGGATCGAACTGGGGTCCTTGCGCTTGCGCAGCAGGCAGCGAAACCACTGAGCTAAATCCCAGGCCCTGGAGTAGAGTTTTAACTGCCCAAGAAATACATGACTCCTTTACCATGGTATAGAGAGCACATTACAGATCAGAAAACAAACTCAGCATGGCAGCACACGCCTGTAATCCCAGCACTCAGAAGGCTGAGGCAGGAGGATTTCTGAGTTCGAGGCCAGCCTGGACTACACAGTGAGTTGAAGGACAGCCTGAACTGCATAAGGAGACCCTGTCTCAAAACCAACCAACCAACAAACAAATAAAACCCCACAAAAGCAAATAAACAATAAATAAATAAAACAGTCCTCTTTGCTGGGTGTGAAGGCCAGCATGCAATCCCAGGTACTCTGGGAGGCTGAGGCAGGAGGATGGAAAGTTCAAGGCCATCCCGTGCAATTTACAAGACTCTGTCAAAATAAAATTTTATAAAGGGGCTGGGGATGTAAGAAAGAAAAGAGAAACAAGGCATGTTGGTACAAGCCTGTAATCCAGCACTCTGGGAGGCTGAGGCAGGAGGATTGAGAGTTTGAGTTAGGCCTTAGTGACTTAGTGACAAAATTAAAAAACTAAAAATGGGTTGGAGACATAGCTCAGTGTGAAGGCCTTGGGTTTGATCCCCAGCATTGAAAGGGGAGGAGAGGAGAGGAAGGGGGAAAGAGAGAAAGGAAGGATAAAGAGAAAGGAGGGAAGGAAGAGAGGAAGGAAAAGAGCCCCCTTCGACTCCTCCCATCCCACAGCCTCAGCTCACAACCACAGGGCATTCAGTTGTTTGTTCTGTTTAGTTACAAGCAGCTGTGTCTGCACGTGCTATATCTCCCCGATTTTCAGTTCCTCTTACTGTCTCTTTTTCTCATACCACACGGGACTAAGGAACTAAATATAATTTGCAGCCAGACATGGTGCTGCACTCCTGTGATCCCAGCACTGAGGAGGCTGAGGCAGGAGGATCTCTGTGAGTTGTAGGCCAGC